TAGCTCCTTCTTGTCCAAGTACTGTGGCACGAACCCAACGTCCTTTATCCTTGAACTTTGATGAATCCTGAGTCCAAACAAAAACCTTCTCTCCTTGGAAATAAGGACCGTCACTTGGCATAGTCCTTCTTGCAAGATCTGCTCGAAGGTCCTGAGCTTGTCGTGCTTCTTGATGAGCTCTCAAAGCCACACGTTGTAGTTCCAAATTTGTACGATCTTGTGCGGCGGCATTAGCTGACAATTGCTCAGGGCTTGCGGTCTCAAGGTCAAAAAGATCTGGTGGACGTCTTCCAGTTGCTATCTCTATTGGTGAATATCCACTGATAGTCAACTGACAATTTCTTGCCCAAACTACCTTCTTGACCACTTCTCTGACCGTAACACCACGAAAACGTGGGTCATCCAGATCTACCTTCATAACATGCCACATACGTTTAAACAAACGTACAGCTGTCTCTGCTCGGTTCGGCCAAGGAGTTCTTGGCCCACAAGGACATTGTTGTATACCATGGAACCTGTAGTATTCAACAAAAGCATCGGTGAAAAAGGCTTCGTCTCCTACGATGGCCTTTGGAACACAGTTGTTCTCATCAGACCATTGCCTCAATCCTTGGATGGTGGTTTGATCTATGAGGTCTTTCTGTGCCGTAGCCCAGAGAAGATTTGTGGCACCATCAAGAACAAGTAAGATGATATACTTGTTCTTGTGAAGTTCAACCTCACAATGATCAGCAAAAACAAAATCACCAAAACATGAAGCTCTAATACCGGAGACTCTGGCTCGTGGCGGAGGTGCCACTGAAGTGTTACAAACACGGCAGTTCCTGACAACTGATTCATACTTCTCTAAAACAGAGTCAGGAAGCTTCAACATAGAAACACGTCTACGAAACTGAGTAGGACTCATATGGTAGTGCTTCACATGAAGCTTATAAAGCTCTACCTTGTCCTCCAGTCTCTGTAACATCTTCCTATATGCCGGTGTCATTGCAACAACTTCACTACCAGGTAATGGGATTGAAATCCGCCTAGGCTCAAGAGCGCCATCACCTGGTTCAAGTGGTTCATGTTTATCACTTGATGGTCCTTTTGATGCTTTAGGAATTTCTACAAGTTCACCTTCTGGCCTCTCAGGTGGTTCTGAAGGAGCATACTCCTCAAGATCATCACCCTTTAAATCATTCTGAGGCTCAGATGGTTTTGACTTGTGTCCTTTCCAAAATGGATCAAAACCCTTGGAAGTATACCGGAACTTTGGCGGCACGGGCTTTTCCGCGGCACTGGATGGTGCACCTTCCTTCTCTGACGAGAAGCCTGGTTCCCTGTCCTTTGCAATGGGAACCTTCTCTGAGGAGGAGCGCACCACTGCATCGGGATCACCAATGCCACGGTGCTCAATGCCAGCCTTCCTGATCTTTAGATCTGGAATTTTGGCATCTGGCTTAAATTTAAAAATTGTTCTACCACGCCATTCATAGCCAAGTTGTAGGTCCTTCCATTTTGCCTTGCGCCAATCATCTGTCTTCTTGATTTCTTCTCCTCCTGTTTTCTTCTTGATGATTGTTAGTCGCAAGTCTTCCAGCAAGTCAGTGTCTACAGGACAGGACTTAGTTGCTGGGAAAAGAATTTTCCTGTAATCCTTGTGGTGACGTATCAGTTCTCTCTTGTGAACATCTACTTCCCAGAAATCAACCACAGGATATGCATGCTCAGCTTCACCTTCATCACTATTGTGTTCAACAGAAATATGGCCATATTCATAGTGAGTGAGGTGAGAGTAAAAACTCTTCTCACGCTGAGTCTGCCAACGCACGTCAGACAGATACCATGCAATATCTTGGAAGTCCAACACAAGATGAGTACTGGCTGCAACCTTCAACTCCAGAAATCTGATACCAAGAGGCACCGATGTCAGATAAGCATGTCGAGGTGTCAGCCTGAGTTCAAAGCCTAAGTTCCTCATCTGTGGCAAGCTCATAAGCAAAGGGACTTCTCCTTCTTCCACTATGTCGAACTCTGTTTGGTGGATCGTCCATGCACGATCATACATGTAAATCACCAGTTTCTGAGAGCAAGTAGCCTTCTGGGAATTGGCAAAGTAAAACTTGCTCTTGGTAGACTCAAAAGAGTACCATAATCCACAATCTGGGTGATTGTCGACATAGTTGCAAAAATGGTCGACTGCTCGCCTTGATCCCATAGCTCTAGTGCATCCAATGTCCAGGATTGCAATAGTTGGCGGGAAGCGATTCTCAGTCAAAAATGAAATGGCCTGCATCTCCTTCACTTCTTCCTCAGCGCTCATAAGCGCAAAACCATCAGCGCTCATAAGCGCAAAGCCATCAGCGCTCATAAGCGCAAGGCCATCAGGAGCCCTTGTGAGCATCTCCTTTGACAAAGAGTACCTCACAGGGGCACTCATGTCATCGAAGATCATCTCACCATTGTTGACCACGCAGTCAGCTTCATCTTGGCATGAGGTCATCATGCCTGACAGCAAGTCCACCTCACTGTCATGGACTTCAGCTGCTGCTGTCACACAATGTGCTAAGAAAACTTGTTGACCTCCTGATGCTTGTGAAGATCTTGAAGGTGCAGGTAAAGAACGTGGCTGTTGTTGATTTGCATAGTTTGCATCTTGTTTGCCATCTCCTTTATCTTTTCCTTTTCCTTTCTTGCCTTTTCTCTTGCCTTTTCCTTTTCCTTTGTGGGAAAACCATGCTTCTTCAAGCTGTTGCCAAAAGTCATTGGCATCATCATATTCTCCTTGAAGATAGTCATTCATATCCTCGGCAAGAATGGCATCATATGCTCCTTGGGTTGACTCCCAAGTATCCTCATAAGGATTCTCTTCAAAGTACTCTTCTGGATATGTTGTCTGTTGCTCATCAGCAAAATGGCCTTTACCTCGTCTCTTTCCTTTTCCTTTTCCACGAGGTCTGAAGAATCTGCGGCCTGATCTTCCTTTTCCTTTTCCTTTTCTTCTTCCTTTTCCTTTGCCTTTTCTGGCTCTTCTTCCTTGGAATCTCCTTTGGAACCATGAGAAGTTTTGATCATCATATACCCAAAAGACATCGTCCAGGGCATCTAAAAATCCTTCAGTTCCATCTTCTTCATCTTCGGCCCAATAGCCAAATGTACCATCGAGTTCTCCTTCGTCTAGTACGAGGAATGATCTTCTACCTCCAGCACCTGTCGGCTGCATCAATGGATTGTCTACTGAAGTCTTTGTCGTGCAGAACATCTCGATGAACACTGTCCTCAACTCTGTTGTGGTGTATTGCTGCAGGTACCTGCCACGATGAGTCATCAACGAAGTCAAAGTGTTTCGCTGGTCCTGAGACAAATCTGCAAGGGACAGCATGAGTAAGGCAATGAGATTCTCTCCTAAGGGAAAATCATTCTGATGAAGAATTCTCATATTGCCATTGACATTCTGCATGATTTCCTGAATCCTTTCTGCCGTTGGTGCTACTCCAGTCAACGCTGCATCTGCCTGCATCTGAGCAAGGACTTGGGGATGTGCTTGAGTGACTGGTTCTAACATGTCCATCCAACTGCTCATAAGCCTTTGGAGTAAAATCTGGAATCTTGTCATCCATTTCATCATGTCGGCTGATCCTCGATTGAATCGCACGAATTGCATAAACCTGTATAGGAATACATTGGTTGATCCTTTCACGAAATATGGTCGTAGTACTCGTTTGAAGTAATCTACTCCTGCTCCTGGTGGCTCATTAGCCTTCAATGAATCTCTGTCTAATACACGTTTGTATACTGCTGCTTCTCCTTCTAATCTGTTTCTCAAAGCTGGTCCTCTCTTCTCATCTTCCAGCTCGGTGATATCACACCAATCGTCTATGGCATCCTCATAGGAAAACCATGAAGTCTTTCCATCATAAGATGGGGGCACCTTTGTAGTGACCTGTGTTGTCATAGCTATTGCTGCTGGTTCTCTTCTCACATGCCTATTCACGTAGGCTGCTGGCTCATAAGCCACATCCGCATCAGGCTCTTCCCAGTCGTCAATCCAATCCATGGCCGTTTGCCCACAAGCAATTCTATGCCTAGGAAAGGAGCTCACCTGGGTCTTCCAGGATCACTGCTCCGCTACCACTGAAAGAGTGACTAGGGCGTACACGGTAGAGGTGCAGACCGCTAGTGTCTTTTGCTCACGCAGAGTCTTATCCTATATCCCTTTAGGTCCATTGACCCTCTCTTGAGCCTTGAAGCAGTCAAGCATGGACACACTATATCAGCTGTTGGAGTGGAACCCTGTACAGGTAGGCTCTACTTTTCAGGGGGGGGGCGTCAGGCTGTCGAAAAATCCGCGCGGAGAGACAAACCGTAGGTTGAAGCCAACACAAGCAATACTAACCAAAACAATCCACAAAACACGCCGGCAGGCCGGCGGATTAATCTTTACTATATTGTTCGTAAAACATGGATTGCTTGCCATGCGCCACAAGCTGAACTGCAGCAGTCTTTGACAAAGATCATGGCTCATGGGAGGTTCTTTGTTGTGTGGTTGCCGGAAAAATGAGTCTTTTCACCAAGGAGCCTAGGTAGATGCCCTCAAACGTATATGGTATAAAACCAGTCAAATAACGGTTGACGTAATTTGGTCGTCTAAAAACCTTTAGTAAAGCAATGATTGTTCGGGAATCGGGAAACAATATCAAAGCAATGGTGGGCCAGGAAATTTGGGGTTTATGTTACCCTTGTGCTTGGGTTTCCACTTTCAATTTTCGGGCCATGCGGCCAGTTTTTTGTTCTGCATGCACCTATGGACGGTTTGGAAGACGAAATGACGGCAAAGGGCCATTGGAGTCAGCGTGGATCTCAAAGACAGCCATGATCATGTTGTTCTTGGTCCATGAAGAAATGATTTTGTCGGTCATATTCCGTGGTTTGGTGGGGTAAGGAGAACAACTTTGCTTATCAGAACACTGTATCTCAGAAACTCATATCCAACACCCCGCCGCGACCTTTGCGGCCAGGGCACATTGGCTCTTGAGCGGCAAGAACGCAGCTAATTCCCCTTCGAGAAAGTGATGCAGAATATCACTGGGACTTCCAGCTGCTTTGGAGGGGCGAATTCACTGCTTAGGTGTGTGGGCGGAGAATAGTTGCTATGTCGCAAATTTGGAAAAATGTTTCTCTCTCAAGTGATTTTTCATACATGTTAAAACAACATTTTTCTTGAAGATTGCCTCGGGTGGAGGGTAGATGGAAGTTCCAAAGTGATGCACAGTGGCGCGCAGTGATGGACCTCAGGTTGTGAATCGTTTTCCGATTGTTGGATTCTACCAACGGCTCTCAAAACATCTCCAAACCCTCATGGTTCTCCACCCACCGGACATCGACGTGAGTTCCTTTTTGTCCGACTATGAGTATACAAACGTCCGGAATCAACTAAACAGCAATCAGGACATCACCTGCATTTCTTTTTGTTTCTTTTCGATCCGAAAGCACCTAGGGAACGACGCCCCGTCCTGGACCGCCCGGCGCAGCTGCGGCCCTGTGACCCCCCCGGACCTCGCCGAACCAGCCAAACCGCGGCGATGCAACCTGCTTGGAGAAAAAACTGCTTGGAGATGTGCCATTTTTTTCTATCCAACCATGCAAAAAGAGACTCCACAATTGGACATGCTGGGCCCCAAAGGTTTGAACCAGAGCCGATAGAGCATTGCTCAGTATGAGATTATCAAGCATCTTGGGGGTTCGACCGACATTGCACCTGGAAGACAATGCACACTTGCGAATCCTTTATGGAAGGTCTCTTTGAAGCTTGTAGATCTGCCGATCCTCCCCCGTCACAACCCGGTCGCCGGAGAACCAGCGCCCGCGAGTGCTGCGGAGTCCTGCCGAATTCAACGCGTAGCTTGGTCTGGCTGTCGTTCTCTACACTGTCAGCTTTAATGCGCCGAGCTCCGAGGATGCCGTCCTCCGGATGCCCGTCCTCGGACGCCGGGCCTTGCCCCGGGCTAACCAGGCGCCGAAATCCATTCGTAGAGGGCGCAGTCGATCATGGAGTCCTCCCGCAGACCCAGCAGGTCACGTCAAATCGTGGGCACTGTGGAAGAGGACAGGTGGGGCGCCTGGTGTCAAGAATAGCCTTCCATATCCTTAGAGGAGACGTTGTTTCGTGGAAGCTGCGCAGATCACACTACTGCATATCATGCGTACTGTACTCCTTCAGTGAGACTCACTCCAACCCCACTCGGCCATGCCTTTTGCAGCCGAATGGCCTGCCGGAACGGCGGCCCGGTCACGTGGACGGCGGCGATGCGTCTTGCGCGAGCCTTTGTCAAGAAGGGGCAGCAGTGCTCATGCTCTGGGGAAGTGTTTGCCAATACCCTGCCAATGCATGCATGGCATGTTTACCTACATTGGGGTGGTTTCATTTGTTTCCGTACACGGGGTGTCGGGGATGGAGGATTGAAGCCAGACACCATGTTCAATCGCAGGTTTGCCCATCCACAGGTCTTCCCGAACACACACACACACACACGACACAAGCATGTACTGAGAAGCACCTTTCAAGTGTTGATTGCAAGCCATCACCCCACCTGAAACGGCACATGTGCTTGGTGTTGAGCATGCATCAAAGGCAGTTTTCGGTCGTACCGTTGAGGCCTTCTGGTGATGGTAGATTTTGGTGCATGTTTTGAGAGAATGTTGGACCCATGCTTCTGTGTGCCTCACATGAAGCAACGTGTTGAAAAGGAATCTGTCTGCCTCACATGCCGTGGTGGAATTTTCTGAACTGACAGCTCAAGGGCCACGAATACATGAGATCAGACAGCAGCTTCTGGGCAACAAGTCTCGACAGACAGACATTGACGCGCCGCAACCTAAAGGAACTCGTTTGGGCGTTTGGAAGGCTTCGCTTTCCGTGTGCAGCCCACCTACACTTGGAACCACCCGTGCGAAGATTCTTGTGTCTCCTTGACTTCACTCAACAGTTCACCTCTCAAGAAAGCCTTCAAAGGGCTTTTGGAGCCACAGCCCCACCTCCCGGGCGCTCCGTTTCATCCGTCCCCGCCGCGCGGCCCGTTTGGCCGCCTCGGACCCCTGCCATGAACGCCACACCTGGACCGCCGGTGGCGCCGGGCACGGTGGAGATCGCCGGCGGGCCGAAGATGAGTCGCAGCGAAGCGCGGCGCTTGAGGGAAGAGGACCCTGTGGGGGGAGAGAGGAGGTGCAGAGGCAGGAGAGGAGGGTGGGGGGAGTGGATGGACAGAGGATGATTCCGAGGTTTGGCTTTGGGAGTTTGGGTCTGTCTTCTTTCTTTTCTTTTTTGTGTGTGTTTGGATGGAAATGAAAGAAACGGGTGTGTGTCAGGGGAGGGGAGGTTTGGTTTGATCCCAGTCAGCATGCGACATTCACAAGTGATGATCCTTGTATTCTTTCCAGTGGCTGTTGAACATCGCAACTATTTACAAGTGAATGAGACTGGTCCATGATGTTGTCATCATGGTTCTTGCGTAGGTTTGGAGTGGGTGATCAACAAAAAGACATGGCGTTCAACATGGCTGTGTTGGGTTTCTGATGAGTTTGTTAAGGATTACATGCTTTTTGGCATCATTTCAGAGTTTTGCGTTTGATGCACAGTTGGAACTTGAGTGCAGATGCGTGACCATTTGCAGACAGCTGGTAACCTTTTACCTTTTAGATCCTTTTAGCCTTTTAGCCAGAACTTTCAATGCCCAGCAGGAGGCACCGCCAGCTAACGGCTGCATCAGTTTTGATTGACTCAAGTCCCTCCCCAAGGATGAATATGGTGTAGATTCTTCATTGTCTTATGGGTTTTATCATCACAACCGCTCGAAATGGACCGCACCGCTGAAAAAAACCCTCTTACCCTGCGTGTTAAACCCAGCCCCTCGCAGGAGGAAGCGGCCCGGGCGCGCTCCAACGCTGAAGCTTGGAGGCGTCCTGATCAACGCGGGTCGCGGTTGGGATCAGGTGACAAATCCAACGATCTCTCAGCTCCTCGGGCGCACCCGGCGCCAAGAAACGCACCGATCAGCCGGCTTTGGCTCGGCTGAAGCTTTCTTGGACCAATTGCCAGTGCATTTTGGTGGAAACCACGGGGCTGGGAGGCCCAACTCAGATGTTCCCCGACCCAGTGGACTTGAAGAAGCCCCGGAAACCGCTCTTGCCAGGCTCGGCGGCAAGGCCAAGGTCAACGAGGAAGGGCCTCAGGCGCCCGCGGTCGGACGGGGCTCGGACGCCGACCGGTCGGCCGCCGGGCGGGGCGGGGCGTGGACGCCAGGTGGACTGGAAGGCGTGGCACGTCAGGTGACGCGACCGTTGCGGAGCAACGTTTCATGGGGTGCTTCGGACATCTCCAGCACATATCAAGCAGTCGAAGACGAACTGGGGCATGTTTCGTGTTGTGTCGCCGCAGGAGTAGCAATGTGTTCTGACGCCTGAACATGTTCCAAGGCAGCCCTGTGTGGCTCTCCTTGAGCAACTTGTGCTCATTCATTTTCCCCACAACTTGGGAGATGACCTACAGAGATTAAGTGACCTTATAAATCCTTATAGGACCCTACAGGGGTACCTATTAGGATACTCTAGTTCGGGTTCTTCAACCTCTGCTGGGAGTGCAAACCTCAAGCGGGTTTCCACCACCGAGCGCGAGGCTCTTCCGAATCGGGCACAGCACTCAATGACCAGAACCCCTTTGCCAAAAAAGGGGGAGATCCGTGAGATCTGCCTGTGCAGTCGTTGAAGCAGCATATATATAAAAAATATATATAAATATATGTATTATAGACTCTCTTATAGGCACCCCCTGTTACGGTGATTCATATATGGTTCTTATGGTTCCATACGACTTTTATATGGTTCCATCTATCACCCATTATATCACTCTCTTATAGGACCATTCATGGGTCCGTCTTTCTCCGGTCACTTCACCGACAGTGAACGGCCTAGCGACGCGCCCAGGAGGAGGATCCGAAGAAGGCGGCCGAGCGGGAGCGCTCACGTAGCCGGGAGAAGAAGGCGAGCCGACTGGGGAGTTGGGGGATAGGGAAGGGCGGAAGGGCTGAGTGGTTGGAGGCAGAAGCGTGTTCTTTTTTCTCTCTTCGAATATATGTAGGCTGAGTGGTTGGAAGATGTTTGAAGCTTGGAGGGAGCATTCCTGTTTGTCCTCATCAGATTCAGAAAGCAAAGACAGCGTTTCAGGGAAGATTCTTAAATTTTTCATTCACTTGTAAACCTGGAGGAGACCTAAAATAGGCCAACAAACAGTCCCAGGTGATGAACACTTTGCAGCAGTGATCCTTTCGTTCGTCGAAAGGTGGGACCCATTTTGAAGAGTTGACTCGTCGAGTCAGTTCGACGCACAAGAAATGACACAGATCTATAATTACAATATCAACTGTTGTTGTGCATGTATGGTACATGTTTGCTTTGCATATGTGTAATCAACACGTATGTTAACTTCATCATTCGAACGGCCATTTTTGAGACGTGAAAACGAAGTACAAAGCGTCAAAGTGTCAAAGCCACCATCGTTTTGGGACCTACCACTTCCGACCCTGTCGAACCTATCGAACTGAAGGACACCCTGCGGATGTCGATCCGCCGCCCCCCGGGGGGCCGTGAAGAGTCTTTCCATTCGACGACCGGCCTCTGCGGCCGGGTCTCCAGGAGACCTTGGACCGCTTAGCCAAGAGCGCGGCTGAAAAGGCGGTCGGGGCCAGGGGGAAGCCATGGGACTCCTGAAATGGCTTCAAGCCATGCTTGAGCAGTGATCCAAACGCAGGTCGAAAAGGATGAAGGCCGGCTTGAGTTGATCTATAAGGTGATGTTTGTGATTGGTCCGAACTGGGTGAATCCTCCTTTTCCTGGGAAACCCCGCGCCGGGAAGCCTCCCAGTGATTCGCTCGGACTCAGGACTTGGACATTTGGAACGTCGATGGATCCGACATCCACCAGCATAGACCTAATGTAGACTCTTGATCAATAAACACCTCATATAGAAGAGGCTTTTCAATCTAAATGGGGGGTCCATGGTTTCAGCTTTAAATGTAGACTCTTGAGGACCATAACTCCTCCCATTTAGATTGAAAAGCATCTTCATATGAGGTGTTTATTAATCAA